CCACCACCACCACCACCACCACCACCACCAATTCGTCTTTTTATTGCTACTCTCATTAGTAGTGGCATTATTCTTTTCAAAGCAATTAGAATTCGCGTTTTTACCTACACGCCTTTTTTCTAAACTGATTGCGCTTTCAACTATTCGGGAAGGAAATTCGTAGGCGATAGTTGCGACTGATCGAAAACATGAGCGACAGATCACTCGAGCCTTACATGCGAAGGGGAACGGCATACGCGGATTTTTGTTCAGGCGTGGGCGGTCACATGCCAATCAACTACATATCCCCCATCCAACGAAGAGGAAATAACAAAAAAATCAGCAATTAGCGTGATAGAATAAACAGTTAGTGGCGTCGTTCACTACCATGCTGAAAATTTTATAAGACTTTCTTCCAACGTAAACGCAAAGGATGAAAAAACGAAGTAGAAGCATTAGGGTCGTTTTCTGGGTATTTTTTTTAGCAGAAACAATGACCTTCCCGCTAGCATCGTTTTAGGGAACGCTCTATTAGTCCCACCAACGGCGCAACAGCGACGCCAGCCCTCGTCAACAGAAATAAACGAGTTCTTAACGGTGCAAAAAATTGCCGGCGTTAGAGTATCATAACAGATGTCTTCGGCGTGCACTGTGAGTCGATATAACCGCCGGCGACTACAAAGCCGGTTAGAAGAAGCCTGTTTTGTTCCAACCGCATTACTGGTATTTGCCAACTCCGTCTTCTTGTGCAAGGCGGTGTTGCGCCCGGGGGGACGCAACAGTTGGACCACCGCAGGCGAAGAGTCTCACCACTGATCCGCGAGGTAGGTACGGTTGTGATCCAGCGTTTGTGGGACAGATTCGTCCCGCATCCTCTCTATTCCTGCGCTCCCTGCCTTCTGGCGACAGAGGAAAGTCAGGACGAGGAGGGATTCGGGGGTGCGCATGTGGCTGACAAACTGTGCTAAACACAATCTGCTCCCTAAACTCACATTTGCCAGGATTCAGCGAGGCGGGTCTCGGACCACACACACACAGGTGAATACCATAGGGACTAAAGTAAAAAAGGGAGGGGTTACCGAAGCCCGATCCTTATTACAAAGGAGAAATGAGTTAATATCTCAGCTGGTGGTCTTGTAGTCGACGCCCATAAATACGATGACTGGCGCTTTTGTTCGACGCCGCTTACTGCGCGTCAAGGTCGTTCAACTTGCCAGCGGGGGGAGGGAGGCTCCAGGCAAACTGACCATACAGCCTAACCGACTGCAACGCGCACGCACATGAGCACTCAAGCCCCACTTGACCATTCCACTTCTGGGCAACGGTATAGAGAAGGACCCCACTTAACTGTCAGTAGACTGTGGGTCGTGTCATATTGGGTTTCATCTTGGCATACATTAGCAGGCTGTCGCAGAAATTACACTGCCGAAAACGGTTACTTCCCACGACCTCACAACTTAACTCAAAATCCGTTATTTTGTGAAATTTCCTTCTTGTTTATTGGCAGCTTTCTGTCTAGCATGCTGCCCCACCCATAAAACTACCTTTACCATAAACCACGTATGGCGCGATCCGCAGCCTACTGACGGTTAATTGGGGTCCTCCTCCATATTATCGGCCACTTCCGGCAAATGCAACACACACGACGACATTTCGGCCGTCGATTTCGACGATGTCCACCGTATGCTCTACAGCAGGGTGAGAGCAGGGACGGTGGCTTGCACGTGAGTTGCTTTAAAGCGATATAAGACTGACGAAACACCGGCTACACTCTCCATCTCCTCAATCTCCTCCTCCTCCTCCTCCTCCTCCTCCTCCTCCTCCTCCTCCTCCTCCTCCTCCTCCCCCAACTTGATCCTGTTTCGAGACAGAGCCAAGGAAACTGGAGGCGGGAGAGGACGCAGGCGGCCGGCGCGGCGAGAACTCGCACCTAAGCGCACCACCACATCTCCCGGTCCAAAATGTAAACAAGAGAAAAAGGGGATGGCTCGGATCCTAGTGGGTGAGGAGTGAGCCCGCACATAGGCTTGCCGCCTAAATGGCATTTGTTATGGGTGCGCATTCCCGATAACACCTGCCGGACTCCCATCTAGACCCTGTGTTGGTCCAGCGCATCTACCGCGGGGACCGTTTTTGATACTATGAAGACCCTACACCTAGGCGCGCCATCGCAACCCCCGGTCCTCAACGTAATCAATAAGAATCATACACAACAGGAAAGGAGGGGGGGGGGGGCTCTCGGATCTTAATGAGTGGGAGTGCCATAGGAGGCACATTAAGAAGGAGCTACTGTAGGCTGGCTTTCAGTTCACGGGTTCGTCACACCACCCAAACACACACTGGGTTAACCGCGAAGTCCGTTATTTGGCAGCCTTCTAAGCCACGGCTTTTAGCGCACCGTGACAGTTTAATGGGTAAGATGTGGCTTTGTAGCCGCACCTGATGGACGCAATACTGTTAGGGGTTAGGGCTGTGGTGGTTATGCGGTGAAAATGTGTGCATTCTGTGCACCACAATAATCAGGACAAATCCTAGCGTTGTAGGGAGAAAGACGTAAGACACCAGAATGAGGAGTTTATTGAGCACAGAACCTGCAGTTGTCCTCTCAGGCGGCAGTGGCCACTGGTGAAACCAGGGCTGGTGTTGACTGCGTCCAGTCATGCCTGAGAGTCCCTGAGATAGTGGTGGCAGCCGCTTTTGTAGGCCCGTGGGCCAAGCTCAAGTGGTGTCCAGTCCGTGTATGTTGCATTTGCCGAGGGGTGGTGTCCCAGTGGCTTGTTTTGCTGGTTGCAGGGGGTGGCGCATGGGTAGCCGCGACACTGTGAGGACGCAATTGTGTGCCCGAGCTGTCGGTCGTGTGACTTCGGGTCAGCGCGTCTGGAGCGGCTCACTGCAAAGGGGTGAATGACCTTGAGGGAGAGAAGTCTTGAACAATGACGCCAGACTGGTCATGATGGCTGCCCGCTACAGGGTAACTATTTTTTAACCACTCAAAGTACACCCGCGCATTCCTAATGGCCTTTCTTTTGCACACAACTACTTGACCTCGTCGCCTGTGCGTTTCCTGGTCCCACCTGTAAAAACTCCTACTACTACCGGTCTCTTATTACAGGCTGATGGGGTTTGTTTATCTCAGGTGCAGCTAAATGACCACATCTGACCGTCTAATGTGTGTCTATTGTGAGAAATTATGCGCCGACAGTAGACCTTACTCACGCTACTCTATTCCATGCATCAGCCAATTTTTCGGGCCGGTCAAACGACTGATGCTGAGATTAAGAGAGGTGATTGGCAGAACTGAGAACAGGTCGTCTGCGTGTATCACAAAAACGACCTGACTCCCCATACGTTCATACCAGGATTTCACACACAGTGGGATAGACCGCTCAGGTCTCACACGCAACAGAGAAGCCGCATGGAGAAGGAAGCCGAAGAGCACACTTCTCATCTGCGTGAGAGGTGCCGGTGATGTAGGAAGGCGGAGGTGTTCATGTGTGATGCATTTGTTAATGGGGAAGTGCGAGGTGATGTAATTAAGTTTACGGTGATTTACCGCAGGTTTTTACGAGACCGCATGCGTCCGAATAGGCCCATGCGATGGCTGAATGTGCGCGTACAGTGCAGGCAATTGGGGCGATGGCGTCTGTTGTGTATGTTGGTGCTCCAGGCACTGGCTCGCCAGTCTCTGTGTGGTGGATTTTCAAGAGGCCCGCCAGGCCTATGCGTGGGGTGAACCTGCGGCGACAGCGTGGGCAGAATGGGTTGGGGGATGTTGAGTCGTTGTCGATGTGATGCTGGCAGAGTTGGGCGTGCGTGTCAATAGGGGACTGATTAGGTTGAGGGTGGGAGGATTGGTGGACGTGCAAGGTGTGTTAGGTGTGTCGATACTGCAGTGAATTCTATCGTTGTGGGCATGCATGCGACCGAATAGGCCTATGCAGTGTATGAACGTGTATGAATAGCGTGGACAGTGAAGGCGGATGCGGCAAGTTTATGTGGGTGCTCCTGGCGTTGGTGCGCCGGTCGCAGTGCGATGGGCTCGCAAGTGACCGATCAGACCAATGTGTGAGATTAATGTGCAATTACAATGCGGACAGGTTGGGGCGGAGTTCATATCGTTGGAAGTGGGGGGGGGCGAGGGTTTAGTGGTGATGGTCGTGGTTGACGGGCCGTCGGGAGCGTTTTGACGGGTGGAGAGAGTGGGCGAGGTGGTAGTTGTCGCCACGGAGGTCGTAGTGGGGATGATGTTGACGGCGGTGGTCGATGACGGCAGAGCACGGGGATTCTGAGCATCAGCAGTGAGGATGGGCGCCGTCGTGAAAGCGGTCGGGGAGGCGGCAGATGGGGTTGGGTGCGGGGATGCCGGACGAGACCGATCCGCGCGTGGAATATTCGTTGACAGCGTGGTCATGTTGGGGGTTGGCGCTGCGAATCAGGGGTACCTGAGGCTCGCGAGCTCCACATTTGGCTTTGGAAGCGGCGACCCGGCTGGATTTTGTAGATGGCTACTCAGTCTTCACTGTCCTTTCTTAGGCAGGTCCGTCGTACGACGTGGGTCTTCCGGCGTTCTGGGGTTAGTTTGTAATGGCGAGTTTGATCTCCTTGTCGCGAGCACCTGTGGCGGCATCTACGTATGGACAGTCGCTTATCGTCCATCCTTACAAAATGGCTGCTCAATCGCAGTTGCAGTTGCCTCAGCATGACGCGTATACTGAAGATTTCGGTCTGTTCGATGACCTCCACGTCTGGGTTCCTGTCCTGCCACCTCAACTGTAGGATTCTTCGAAGAGTTTCCTCGTTTGGTTGTCGTAGACTGTCCAGGTCTCCGCACCATACAGCAGCATTGTCAAGCTGACAGCTTTGTAAATAGGATTTTCCAAGGCTCTGTCTCTATCCCTCATATATACTGAATTATAAATCTTCAGTTTGGTGCTCAGATGGAGACCGTGGCGGTTCCAGAGGACGACCTGCGGCCGGCTTGCGGCCTGGCTGGCTTTAAAAGTCCGGTGGGCTGCTTAGTCGTCAATTTTGCCGTTACATAAGAGTAGGTGAAAACGTCCACGGTTTTCAGTTGGATGCCGTTGACGTGGATGCAGGGACGGTGTTTTCATTGTTGGGTTACGGATGAACACTGTTTTGCCCGTGGCGATGGTCAGTTCGAAGTTGACGCAGCCAGAGTCGAAGAGCCCCGTTCCCCGTTGTATATCAGCTCCTACGTCGGAGTTGAGTGCGCAGTCGTGTGAGAAGAGGAGGTTACGGACAGTACTCATAGAGGGGCGCACTGAGGCCTGCAGGTGTCGGCTACCGAGAGGATGGCCGTTGGTCCTGTAAGCGATGTGGATCCCAGGGCTCTACTCAGGATAGGCGTCCATCAGCATGACAGAAAACATGAGGCTGATGAGGGCCGGGGCGAGCACGTAGCCCTGTTTTATTTCGTTGGTTACTGCGAATGCTTCTAAGGCAGTTTCTTTGTTCGTGACGCGCGTCATCATTCCGTCTTGGAGCTGATGTATCACGTGCGTGAATCTCTCAGGACAGCCGAAATTTGGCTTGATTTTCCTCAGTCCATTGCGATTCACCGTGTCGAAGACTTTTGTTAATTCCACGGACGTGGTGTAGCGGTAGGTCCGCATGTCATGGCAATTCCTTTGCAGCTGGCGGGTGGCGAAGATCGTGTCGGTGGTCCCGTGGTGACGTCAGAATCCGCACTGACTTCCTGGCAGGAGGCCCTGTTCGGGATGGCCGCTGAGACGGTTGAGGATGATGCGAGCGAAGATCTTCCTGACGACTTGGAGTGGAGAGATTCTTTTGCGGGCTACTTACCTTGTGGTCTCCTGCGGGGCTGCAGTCGGAGCCTCGTCTTGGAGATGACGAGACGATGATCTGCCCAGCCATCAACGTCACAGATTGCCTTATCCACCATCACTTCCTGCCGATCTCACCTCCGGACGAGAATGTAGTTCAGCAACTGTCAGCGTCGCGATCGGAGGTGCAGCCAGGTGGCCTTCCACCGCATCAGCAGAAGAAGGTGTTTAGCGCAGGAGGAGGAGGAGGAGGGACCATTGTCGCTGAAGCCGGCGATTCCGTCAACGTAGTCTGTCCCGACGCGGGCATCTAGGTCACCGAGGACGACTGGCTTGTCCGCCAGGAGGACGTGCATGTCTTCGTAGAACTTGTTCTTCGCCTCGTTGAGCTGGTTGTTGAGGGAGGGGGGTGGAGGAGGCGAATCTGGCCCCTTAAATAGGCAGGCGCAGACCAACAGGCGGTCCTTGACGCCCTGCGGTAGACGGGGCGATCTTCCCACGATTTCGCTCCAGACGGCAAAGGTGAGGCCTATGTCGCGATGCAATGCGTTTTTGGCGGCCGCTTCAGAAGAAGATGTAACCGGCACCAAACCCCTGCGGTTGGCCTTGTTTGGGGGAACGGGTCCCATTTTGAGCAGCGATGTTCTCATTATGGTGTGCCAGTTCTCAAGCGACCAACGCCATCCTCCGTTCCGGTCGTTTTTTTTATCGGACTGTCTAAAAGGGAACGAAGGTTCCAAGCTGCCAGAGTGAACGGGGGAATGGGGACGGGGTTGTCGTTGTTTATTTGAGTGTTTCAACCAGAAGTTTTGGATGCACGAGGCAGTGGAGTGGAGCGGAGGGTAGGGGGTAGGGGGGGAACAAAGGTTGTTGTTCATTGTTGTTTCTGACTTCGAGTTTCCCATCTACGAGCCATAGCAATACTGGCGGATGGCGTGATCCCCCAGCGCTTGTTTAAGGTTCCTTTTCCAGCCTCTTCTCCACCAGGAGTAAGCAACGTTATATTTAAATAGGGCCGCTTAGACATCTGAGACAGCTTCCGAACTCTACTATGGATCACAACTTTGCTTAATAGGGAGCGGCCCGAGTTGGTCTGGATCGTCTACGGGATTGCCTGTCGTCCTCTCTGTTAGACTTTCTGAGGCAGAATGGGGTGGTAGGAAATGAGAGGGAGGGGGGAGGCAGAGAGGGGGAAAATGGAGGGAGAAGGAATGAGACAATAAAAATTGCCAGATGTGCGGACACACAACACCGGATACCCTCATTCAGTTTAACCCGTCGATCAAGGCGGTTACTGAGGTGTGGCCGCAGGGCAGAGCCTAGCTTTGGGAAGTCACAAATGAGAGTTGGGTGCCAGTTAGCGACCGTGAGGTGCAGTTACCATCTGCATGATGCGATCTACCATTTATGAACGCCCTTAATTGTTTTTGGCAGGGAAATGATGCGTGAGACCCTACCTGCATCGATCTAATTGTCCTTTTTGCCCACTCGTGCACCAGTGACCTGTCCAAGTATAGTCTGATTGTAGATAAGACTGGGCGCGGCGGCCGACGCGACTTGAAGTCGCCCTCCCACACGTTCCACTCACGGAATTTGTCTGGCGAAGAGGCTCTCGACTTGTAAGCTGAGGCGCGTAATCGGTCAGGCGGTGTTATCGGCTAAGCGGCACTGGGATTATCATACGCGTTTTTTAATAGGTGTTTTGGCAGATTCTGTGTAATTTATTTTGACTCGACTGCGAAAACTCTGCGACCTAGGTAGGATTCAGCCTTCAGTACTGCAAGGGGAAGGCTTCAGTACAGGCAATGTACTAACCACCTGCTCTACGAGGCCACACCGAGAGCCGTGACTTCATTCACATTTGGGCGGGTAACTTGACTCAAATGTGATTAAACTCACGACTCCCACTGGGGCCTCGTAGCCCAGGTGGTCAGAGCGGTAGCTATACTAAAGCCTTCCCCTTGCTGTCATGGGTCTGAATGCCAACAAAGTCATTAAGTCTTCACAGCTGGGTCAAAATAAAAAATTCGAGTTTTATTGGTCTACTGCTTATAAGAGCTGTGGGTTGTGTGAAAAGTCAAGCCTATGCCTTCTTATTGGGGCAAATTTTCAATAGCTGAAAACTTTTCCCTCAAGTTAAAAGAGCAGCCGTATTCATTCTATAATTTATAAGGAAAACATTCATCAAAATCGCCTATTATTTGAGAACCAGCAACTTAATTATCCAAAATGCTGCAAAGTCACTATTTTGCTGCAAGACAAAGTGGACAGCTTTTTTCTTTAATGAACTACATGAGGGGCATTTCACGGCTTGGCTAATCTGTTCGCAAGCATCGGTTTCTGCTTAAGAAACGAATTTCGGAACGAATTTCGGAAGTGAATAAAAGCCTCTTTCGGGAATGGTCCGATAGGGATAGAAAAGACTGATACACCAGACGGCTTAGCTGTTTTGTGCTCTGTTCAGGGAGACTCTTTCCCGTAATCACGAATCAATGCCCGTACGTGGTTGGATTTTCATATCACGTTGGGGTCATTGATACGGCTTGTCCCTACTGTGGCTTCTCATGTTTCTGTTTTTATTCGTAAGCTAAGACACCGATCAGATGGGTGTGTACCCAATAAAGTACAACCTAATGCACTTCGAAAAACTCAGCTAAAAGCGCCGCCCTCTTAGGGGTCCACTCCTGGAATTTAAAATTTGGATTAAAATCGTCATTGAAATTTCCAAGTTCCAGTGCTTAGCATATATGGAAAAAATTTTTAATTCAATTATCATAAACATGAACATTAAGCACATTAGCTATCTGTTTTTGCCCGAAGCGTATGTTTGGATGAGAAGTGCACCCAGTCGTTAAATTTGCTTATTGAACCAGCATACGGAAGCGCAACTTACACTACAAACAAACAACGGCAGTTGTGTGACTTGGCAAACAAATCGATCAATTAGGAGAACTATTCTCACGCCTAGACTATGTTACCTAGCAGCACGTGGCATTTTATGAAACCATGTCTGAGAGGCGCCGGAATGGAAGTATTAAAGAAGGAATTAGCTTTCCGCCTGTTGAGAATTTTCTAAAATAATCACTTCAGACTTAATATTTTAAAATCAAGACTTGGTATCAGGATCCGTGCATCGTCGCTGAAATTCAGCCGGTGATATCTGCAGACCGTGCTTAACCGGGAATAGAATTCGACGCATTTCGTCACGCCAGTCTCTGGAGCCGTGCAGGTCCGTATGGGATCTTCGAGGTATCCCTCTCTCTCTCTCTCTCTAGAAAAGTGGGAGATCGCATAACTGTTTTTGCAATCACACTGCCGTTGCTTACAAAGGCAAACTTGGAGGTGTAGAAGTCCTTTCATCAGAACGACCTTTGGATAATCTAAAATGTCAGACGACAAAAGTCGAAATCAAGGGACCTAAATGTCGAGGGAAATGCACATGCAAAGTACTTTTACGAGACTGTGGGATATTCGAGTTCGCGGTCCTCAAAGCCACTATCATAGGAAGATGAAGCTGCCATTTCTCCCACGAGACAGCTAAGTACCTCGAATGACTCGAAATCGCCTAGGTCTCCTGAAGCAATGCCATGCATAGTCGACGGACGAGGAGGTCTACTGTAAAAGTCAGGAAAAAAAGCCAGGGAAAGTTGCCACAAGCAGGTGTCATTTTCCCTCCCTCCCCCAAAACACCATCAGCCCAGACTACGGCCTGCTGACCATCGCCAAATACGCTGTCATAGCAAAACAAAGTCGTTACAGAGAAATGGCGTGAACGGAGGAGACCCACGCTCCTTCGCCGTGCATTACCGCCTGACCACCAAGATGGACAGGACCGAGATGACAGAGCCAAAAAATGATATTTTTTCATGCATATTTTATATAAAACATATTTGGGTTTAAAATGGCATCGAAAGCCAACAGAAAAAGAGTATACTACTTCAGTAGCCACTCTCTGACGTGTGCAATTTTTGCAGGTGGCCAAAAAGGACAGCACTAAAAGCCAGCATTCCGACATGACTGAATTATCTTGGGATTATACTGCATGATAATCAATTTGAGCATTCAATTAATCAGAAGACGAGGTGACGAGCATACGCAGCCTTCGATAAATTCTCGTCTGGCCAGTAGAATTATATGAAAACGGGGTAACTCTAAAATTCAAGTAAGTAATCCTTCCTAATCGAAAACGCATTTCAGAATTTTGGTTAACATCCGATGAGGGTTTGTCACTACCTGTTAGCGTTTCGAACTTCAATTTAAAGAAGAGGCTGGTGCATAGTTAAGAAAAAAAGGTGACATGCACCCTACAGCCATATTTCCTACATTCGGCCTGTTATTTCCGTCTGCTTAATTTGTATATAATACATTTAACAATCATCTTCCGGTAGTCTGTGTGCAGTTAACAGCTGTACCGTAAGCTTAGGCCGCCAAACATTGACAGTTGTAGAAAGGGATCAGCCGAAGATGCAAATTACATTAGGCGAACAGAAGCAACAGGCGACATCTGGGAACAAGACTTTCAGAGCGCGATGTGTCTTCGTCCCGAGCCTGATGCACCTTTTTTCAACTGTGCGCCAGCTTTTTCTCAAAAATGCAGCCTTGAAGCACTTAGGATGGTGAGATCTTGGTGTATTAAAATCACCGAGTTTGATAAAAACTTTATTGGTCACATGTGATTATGTAGCCGCACCCGGGGTAAACAAACCCCAGTAGCCTATAATACGGGAGCGGTGGTAGTAGGGAGTTTTCACAGGTGGGGCCGGGGAATGCACAGGCGACGAGATCAAGTAATTGTATGCAAAAGAGAAGCTATTGGGAATGCGCAGTTGTACTTTGAGTGGGTGAGAAATAGTTGTCCCTAACCCCCAACTCTAGTCCCTAACCCCTAACTCTAACCCTAATCCCCGATCCTAAGCCCTTATCTCCTAACCCTAACCCCTAACTTTAACCTTGATCCCTAACCATAAGCCCTGACCCCCTAATCCCACTACTGCCCCTAACCCTAACCCCAACCCTTAGCCGCCGCCCTAAACCTTAACCATGACACATCCAACGCAAAAGTTACAAGGAGACGACAGACCGAAAGTCGAGAAGGATCACCGGGCATTGGGCCGAAAAAGGTAAACACGGCAACAAACAAACAAGACCACCAAAAGAACACACACCGTACAGCACAGTAGCACCATGTCAACGTAATCACACCAACTCAAAATAACTAAGTAGGTCGACAGTATTGTGTCTATCAGGTGCGACTACGTAACCACATCTTACCTGTCCATATTCTGTGAAACACTTATTCTTGGTCGGAAATCGGACCCCCGTGCTGAGTGGGACCAAGGTCCTACGGTGGCTAAAAGAGATATGGAATATGCTCGACAAGCCCTACGCCCAAGCACATATCCAGCTGCACTGACTTAGCCACACCGCTGACGCATGCTCGGGGCGAGTAATGTGTGAGACTGCTCTTGGTAGTGTCCACCTCAAACCCTTGGGGTCCTAAATTATCGAGAAGCCGCAGAGGTCACGGCTTGGGAGAGGAGGGGGGGGGGAGGTATGAGCAGAATGGATTACCGTGTCCTTCAGGCCCCAGGCCTGACTATGAGGTCCAGCGGCTCTAAGGGAAACATTT